CTGAGGCAAACAATTGTTTTCAATGATTCATCTACAGGCCGGTACAATCATATAAGGTTAAATTACAAAGGGATGGATAGTGATTGGTTCTGGGGTTTGTTCTGAACTGACTCGGTCAATGGTTAGACAGCGAATGGTTCGCCGCTGTCTCATGCACACAGATCGATTGAGGGTTACGTAATCACAGGGCCTGACCCGATGTCGGGGTGACGGATAGGCTGATGGTTGTTCGGCCAGGGCAGGTATAGAGATTGAACAAACTTTTTCTGCGAGCACAGCGGGGGTTGGAATATGCGGATCGCAATGGCCTCTGCAGTGGCGAGCATCCTTAACCGCGTACCTTTCGATTTGCTCATTGGAACCTGATAAATCACAGTGAAAGCATTCGGGAGGTTAACCTGGTGACCAGATTCGACAGGTCAGTATACAAATTTCAGCAGTTTTGTACCGCTTAAATACAAGCGTAACTTAGTACATTGTCTCACCTCAAGAGCGAGAAAGATATGTTCAGAGGATGCTCTGGAGGATGAGATGAAATCCATCCAGAACACTTTGCGTGAAAATGGTTATCCAGAAAGATTCATTCAGCGCAACATGCAGCCCAAAATAACACCGGTCGTTAAGGACGTAGTCGCGCAAAAGGCCCTCTTCATCCGCCTTGATTTTAAAGGTGATACAGTTAGTGAGCTCTTAACAAGGAAACTGACGCAATCGATAAGGAACACCTTTCCGGCTGCGGAGTTACGATGCATCTTCGCCACGAATCAGCTAATTCCTGTGTGCAACAAGGACAGACTGCCGAAGCTGACCTCTTCTTACGTTATCTACCGATTTGAGTGCACTTGTGGGGCAACATACATTGGTCGTACGGCTCGTCAACTGTCACGTCGCATTAAGGAACATAGCCCTAAGTGGTTGTTGAACGGGGGCACCGGAGTACTTACAAGCGGTATCTTATCTCATCTTTTCGAATCTGGTCACCAGGTTAACCTCCCGAATGCTTTCACTGTGATTTATCAGGTTCCAATGAGCAAATCGAAAGGTACGCGGTTAAGGATGCTCGCCACTGCAGAGGCCATTGCGATCCGCATATTCCAACCCCCGCTGTGCTCGCAGAAAAAGTTTGTTCAATCTCTATACCTGCCCTGGCCGAACAACCATCAGCCTAGCCGTCACCCCGACATCGGGTCAGGCCTTGTGATTACGTAACCCTCAATCGATCTGTGTGCATGAGACAGCGGCGAACCATTCGCTGTCTAACCATTGACCGAGTCAGTTCAGAACAAACCCCAGAACCAATCACTATCCATCCCTTTGTAATTTAACCTTATATGATTGTACCGGCCTGTAGATGAATCATTGAAAACAATTGTTTGCCTCAGACTGATGTTCTTGATGAATCACTGAGAATGTTCCATTTGTTAAAACTAAGTACTCGACCGAGCCACTTTAGTGCTTCAATAAAACCAATCTACGTTATATAAATTTGGCCAGCCCAGGTGCCTTAAGTTGGTCACTTTTGAGATGACTGCACTCAGCATACGGTTCGCCGATCTCATTCGTACGTGATAGCTGACGGGCCAGTTCAAGGTGATATTACCGAAATGCATACTGTGATCTCAAATAATGAGTAAGAAGCTAAGAATTTGGATGTTTCTCCTAAGCCAAGAGGGTAAGTTCTATGCATGCAAGCAACCAAGCAGGCTCGGAGTCCATGAATGCACTCCGAATGGATTGAGAATCTCGAGTTGAGGTGCACCATCCGTAGCCATAATCATCAACAGCAGTACACCAGCTATGTGAACTGATGCATTGCTGCCGTACAACCACAACGATCTACGGAATAAATAATAATAACAGGAAGAGTGACCCAGCGTAAAGCCTTAATGCTCTAAGCAAGTATTCATGGTTCAAGACGCGCATAAATTGTCAAGAACATACAGTCACAAACAGCTGGGTGTCGTGTAAAGATAAGGCCGTAGCCGATGGTTGTATGATCAATTTTGGCGCAGATCATCAGGGATTTTTGTGAGCATCAGGTGACGCGATTTGAACCTGTGAATTAAGAAATAGTGGTTGTGGTCAGCAGGTTCTTGTGGAAATTGATTACCATCTATTCGGTGTGCATCAAAGCCGAAACGGTATCTCACATGGCATTCCGAGTTTGATAAGAGACCCACTCGGGGATTAGTCTCATCAGAAACAGAAAATATGTCGATATTCCTTGCCATAACCAGAAGAGATCAGAGTTGCCTATAGAAATAGTTGTTGATCGCCTTCGAATTGTAGTCGGCTGGGGTTTACAAAAAATGACGCCCGCTAACCCTTACGGAAATCTGAAGTTGAACCGCCTACATGGGGTTTGTTCACTTTTATAAACGAGAGTAAATGGCCTTCAGCATGGTTAGTGAGGGAGATATTTAAACTATGCCATAAGCAACCGGACTGGAGTCACCGAACGCGAAGAGTATAGTCACTGCTGCCAGATTTGGAACCAGGTAGTTGAAGATCCGTTACAACACTGCTGTCTTGTGTTTTGAAGACAGCACACAGCAATGCTAAGAGAGTGAAAATTAGCAATGCTTGTTAACCGATATAATAGTGAGTGCGGACGCTGAAAAAAATCAAATGAGGAGCACGATAAGATGTATGAGTTAGATGTAGCGGCAGTACCGGTTGCGAAATCAACAGCGGTCTCTTGCTCTACAGACGAAAAAGAATAGAGTTGCAAGGGAAAGGGAAGACAACAAGAAACAGTATTTGCGACGGAGTCTAGAGGACAGGTTATACTCTCCAGCCGCCTATTCAAAGAGGGGATTTTGTTCGAGTTGTCCTACACCCAGTCTATAACACAATAGCTTGACCCACAAGATAATGGGGTACAAGTCCAATGAAGAAAAGTGACGGTAAAGCACTCTACTGTCTCTTGAGACTTGTTACACGCATCTTTGTAAAATTTAGCAACATTCTCAAGTCCCTGAGGTACGCAGGCCATCATACTATGTAACACCCACTCACATCACGGTCGGTGGAATACCTTGTGTAAATAACGAAAGGTTCTGATGAATGACACGTTGTATGAACTTAAGGAATGGTGCCAATAAGTAAGCGTAAATGTATGGTGAATAAGTTCCATAGTGATTAAAAGTCTGCGCATAGGGAGAAAACATTTCCATCGAGAATCCAAAAACAAAAAAAGGTTTTGAAACTTGAAGTCACCAAGATGCTGTGAGTTCTGCATTTGAAAATACTGTTAAGGCTAATTACGTCGGAAGAATGAAACTTCCCTCGTGATCGAATAACCGGCAGTAGGGATAGTTTTGTGTACTAGAGACAGTAGCGGTTATTTCGGTCCAATATGTCGACCACCATAGTGGGACCGCCGCAGATAATGTGCAATTTTCTCTGAGCATTCCATAGTACAGATCACGACAAAAATTACAGAAACCAACTGTATACCGGCACGTCGTACTGACAGTTAGCTGCCAGGAGACCACAGCCAGTTGTGTGCGGGCTAGGGATGCTGCGCACGTACGTATGCTCGATTCGCCGAGCTGCGGACTACAAGTTAGTGATATGAACTACTCAATCACCAGCAGGTTACGAATAACGACAACAGCTGTGGACTTCAGTATAGAAAAAGAATGAGGATAAGCAGCTCGTCAACCGCTTATATTATAAATGCCAAAAGCTAGAGGTTCCGCGTTTATGAAGAGACGGTTTACAAGGCAAGTTTCAAAACCGGAAAGTTTTCACCCATAAAACTAACCCTCTATATAATACGAAGTACACAGAAGTTAGAAAATTGTTGGGTTTACTTCTATTCGCATCGTCGAATGCGCGATTCAGTGTGCAATGATTGCTCAAAAACTCCACACAAGGAAGCCAGTGGTGTTTTATCACATGGTTAGTATGCGGATCCCTAAATCGGACAATATAGTTATAGGAAAATTGTATCTCTAAATTGCAATAGGATGGAAACATGACGTGACAACAGATCGCACATGGGTGTCGACAGAGACGAATTTTGGCTCCAGAGCGGGGTTGTGCTTGTAGCCTTGTTTCGAAAATGAGTCCACCGATAGGTAATGATGACGCCTCTTTCAGATGTCTGAGTGGGCCACAAGAATGTATGACTAGAACGGGGTTAGAGGTGTCACCGTTAAGAGTAGGAGTGGATTGCAGCACGCCTGTGGGTAAGACCAGAGTAACACACCAAGTTTTATCAAAGACGATGCCAGTGCTCCTAATGTGATGACCCGCCCGATACGACCAAGCCGATTGATGGCTCTAGCAGACCGATAATCGTTTCAGGAGAAAATGGAGTAAACAGTCTGTATGAAATCACTAGCCTCCGGCAGTGATTGCGTCACAGAGCGGATGTGGACCGGGTACCGATGGACGTACCACACATGCCTCCCGTGCAAAATGGCACGTGAATGGCCGACATGCACTGGCGACGTGATAGCCGGTTATTTAAAACATACGTGTCCTCCAGTGTCATATGCGCAGTATCTACAATCGCTGGAAATTGTCCATTGGTGGCCACGTGTTATGGGCGTCTAGCTTGTAATCAACAGGCCGCCGGTTCGAGCCTACATAGATGCGGTCAATCTCACAGTATCCTTAGCCCGGGCACGACTGGTCGTGGTCAAGTAGCAACGAAACGTCGGTGCGGCGTGTCGGAGCATTGCAGATGTATCGCCCATGACCTGTGGATGCAACAGAGAAGTTACTCAATAAGTGGTGATGGTCCGCTTCCAGTTGACCTTAGTGTCGTATATCCATCCATGTTAACACCTTCGGACTTACACAGAAGACGAGGTGCTTTAGCGGGACCGTGGATGGCGAAGTGCAAAAGCACGTGATTCTTCTGCAAATAGAGCCGCGCTGCGACCACTTCTGGTTCTAAAACGACTAGTCGCTTACGCAGCTAATGCATACTGGCTAACCGCGAGCACGCAACCGCGTAAACCCGCAAAACTGGCAGCAAGGAAGCGTAAAAACTTGAAAAGATGTATGCAAGTGCCATCGGAAACAGACTGCACCTAAAATAAAGGGGAAAGATACGATTCAAGCAACTGAGGCACTGGTAAGGGTGATCAGAATAAACACGGGATATCACAAGAGAATTGCACAAAAATCAACATAAGCGGTATAGCTTTACACACTGTACATGGCCCACTTGAAAATAAACTAAGTGTAAGCAAAGTCAGCTGACTGGGACAGACGACCCAGATTGCTTCCGGAGAGGGTGTCAGAATTAGTTTGAGTAAACTGCAGTGGTAAATTGGGTAGAGGCTTATAAATACTATCGATGTAATGATTGGAAAACGCTGGGTAAGTTGAAGCCAAAATTGGATTGATCCTCGAGTGACTGGAGCAAGCGAGTCCGGGAAACACTCGTAAGGCACTAGGTGAAGGACCCAACATCTCGACCGCCGGTGGATGGATATCATCGACATCGTTGGTTGAGTGAGAACTCCTGTAGGCAATCAATTCGGAGGTAGACATATCCTTCTCGGTCAAACAAGAGCCCAAGGTGAAGGTAGTCCCGGAATCTTTGTTTTGGTACCAAGCAGGCATGGAATAAGCAAGGGTAGGTGTCTGATATGAGTGATCGAACTGAGTTGAAGAGGAGCAATGAGGGAGAAAATGACCGGAATAAACGCGAGACGTTGAATACATCGAGTTTGGGTGAAATTCATGGGTAGAATTAAGGTTCGTTGAACTGTAATTATCCAGCTGGTGAAAATCAGTGCATGCACAAGTGTTTTGAGCGTGATGAGCCTCCGGAATAAAACAATCATTGTGTTCGAAAAACGTAGGAGGAGGAAAAACAGGTTCATCGCGTCGCGCAGAACCCAAGCAAACCCGCTCGTTCACTGGGCAAGCGTAACTGCTGAAGTTCTTAGCACTCTGATCCACCATGGTTGCTGGTAATCCGTCATATGCGGTGAATTTTTCATCTCGACAGTTAGACACCGGATCATTCCCATATGGACTGTAGTTGGGGACGGTACATGGTAGGTAGTGGGGACGACTGTGCTTGGGTACCTAAGCAGTATTTCACTAATTAGAAGAAAGTAAGCTTACCTGGGAATGGGATGCACGCGGCTTCGCAACGCGCTTCGAGTTCTTCGCATTTTTCTCGGTTTCAGCAAGATGTGCAACCAAGGAATTTAAAACATCTCGACTAAAAGAGGTGTAATTTTGCCTGGCTGTCTTGTAGCGTTTTAGTGACAATTCGTGATGAGTTTGCAAGTCGGCGATGCGACGTTGAAAGCGGTGAACCTGCGTGGAAACCATCGCTCAGCCAGAGTAGCCACTGCGCAGCAATTATTACAGTGCCAAACGCTCACGATCTGGTGGTGAGGCTAAAACAAAGGATTAAGTGAGAATGCTCACTGAAGTGATAACGTCAACATTTAAGTGTATTATGAGTAATACATCAAAAGCATTATTTTTTACAATAACTAGGTGGAAAATACTACCCGCAGTCGATGAAAGTGTGCAGCACAAAATGGAAGGCGACAAAAGTAGGCACAACTTGGAGGATAGCGCTGGGGAACCGACAAGGTAAGCTTAAAGAACTGCAGAACTTTGCCTGCACGTAACGAAAGATAATATTTTGGATCGGCAAAAACGGGAGCAAAATAAGAAAACACGATAGGAGAAAGGAAAACCGCACAAGCTTTGTCGGCCCAAGTAAACTAGGTTGCATGCGATAGCCCAATTGTCAGACATTCCACGCACAAAAAGATGACACAAGAAAGTAAGTGATCAAAGACCAGCACTCAGAAAATTATACCGCTAAAACAGGCCGCGTAGTGAGCAAGGCAATTAAGTGATAGGGGAAGGGTGGATGTTCAGTAGGGAACTTGACTGGAATTATAGACGGTGGTCACAACAAAAGAAGCAATTATGTATGGGAGACAACGGGCATCAGGTGCTTTCTGTCTGGTGCATGGGGGATTCGGCTCATCCACTTCGTCAGTTGGTGACATTTGATGTCGAAATACGACTGTTTTGCGCATGGTGTACATAACTGACGCATGTACGAAAGTATACCTATTATCAAGGCAGGTGTACTCTAGATCATCAGCCAATCTTGACCAGGGATCTAACAACCACAGTAAATAGCGTTGTGATGAGAAAGAGCTCAGAGCAGCCAGTCTTTCAGTAGACACCAGGAGACTGCTTATTCTGCAAGGGCTTGTTGCAGATATAGAAGTCGTACTTAGAACAAAGCATTTTTGTTGTCCACAAAGAGCCCAGTATATGTAACTTTAGCCACCCAAGTTAACCACAAGCATTATATTAATAGCACTGCTTTCCAGTACACCGTGTCACATGGAGCCCAATGTTTCTTTGATGACCTGAAGCCAAATTGACATTATGCTATTAGCTAGAGATGGGCGCACATCAGTCAAGTTAGAGCACGTGCCTAGAGTCCAACAATGCCTTAGTGCGCCCAGCCCCGTGGCTCAGTCTTTTCGCTTCAAGAAACAACTCAACTTCAAACTTGTAAGTTGAACTTGCAGTCTGCAGTTTAACAATATCATGACGAACTGGCCCATCAAATGTCAGAGATGAATGAAGTGGGTGAACCTAACGCTGACTGGGATCGTCACAAGTGTACCATGAGGAATGATCTTGATGACCGTTGTATGTCCAACTTGAGACATCTATACTGTATGTGGATCTCTGAGAGATCAATCAGTCTGATTGAAAAACGCAAACAGATTCCAATGAGTACTGAGTTCCAGCTTGCTCGTAACGACTTGAAACGACGGCTCACAATAAATCCTCGATTTGACGGGTAAAGTTGGTAGGTGGCGAGGGCTTATATAATGAAGAAAGCCAGTGTTATCGCGAAAAATCGAGTGCTGTACCGGTTCATCCAGAACACAGATCCAAGCAAACCCTCAGCTATTGAAAAAATAGCCGTGAGAGATAGACAACTGATCCATTCTCAGCCGTGTCGACTGGTCTGCTGAGAGGAGCATTTTGAAGAGTAGTTCAGCAGGCCTACTGCGACACTGCTGTTTGTTAAATCACCCGAGCCAACGTGGGAAGTCGATGTGATACCACCCACTTTGCCGTGTTGAAACGAAACAAGGCTCACGCACTCGAAGATTTTTCTCCATCTTAACCGAAAGATAGAGGGGACACATTGTTGACCGCGCTTGCTGCTCTGTACAATATCTGGGACGCTGAAGACGTGTATTCACACTGGATACTGTCAACTGTAGTGCCTATCTTGAAAAGTGATCAACGAACTTTGTGCGAGAGTAATAAAAGCATTATGCTTCTCCAATTCCTAAAAACTCCCGCATATCATTCGTCGACAAATTACTGATCCTCGTGAGAACCGAATCACGGAAAGCTTCTACTCTAGTCGCAGTTGCATCGACCATATACTTGTTCTTTGTCAAGTATTAGAGAAGACACACACCCACAGACGACCGACTATGGTGCTTTTCCTTAAGTTGAAAGCAGCCTTTGACTCTGTTGACCGAGCCAGTTTGTGACACTGCCTATCCGTGAAGGGAGTGCCTGAAAAATTTTCCATCCTGAAGTCTCCACCACGACTCTCGAGGCCGGATAAGTAATTACGGAAAACTATTTCCTGAGATCCAGAAAAAAAAACTAGAATTCACCAAGGTCGTTCTATGTCTCCTTTTCTCTTCAATTTCGTTATTGTGGTGATCAAGAATAACTGAGTTCTTTCAGACTCTTCGGAAATTTCGCCAGGTGACCAAAGAACTAACCTTGAGTATGCAGACAACACAGCTCTTCTTAGGTCAGACGCAAGCGCTACTGAAGAGACTGACGCTTCGGTATGTGCTTTACATCTGCAAATTGTAAATGATTGTTGCAGGACTGGATCGATACACCATCGATTTTGGTAATCAGCGAAGGGCCACTGGAAGCGGTGGGTTGGTTCACTCAACTTGGTAGCTGTGTCACCTCTTGTGGCCACATCACTGAGAAGATTACTTCGCGTACCAACAACGCCCATGTGGTTTTTAGAGGCTGAACAACCTATGGAGAAAGCGAGATATCAGCCTGACAGTGAAAGTGGTCGTGCTTGATCACCAGTGCTTGCGAACTATTGCTCATATTAGGCGGAAAGACCGGATGAGGAACGCTGAGATCCATTAGTTGATTTTTAACAAGAAGCCTTCTGGCGCCTCACTATAGTGCCTGCTAAAGCTTAACCGCTTAGGTTGACCAAGTCATATCCTCTGTGTGCAGTATGCACTGTCGCTGCACTAAGTTAGGCGAAAGCACGAGATGGCCGGTCGAAGACGTGGTACAAAGCCATGAGGAAATCAATCACCGCTGTTGTGATCATGTGGCCACTAACGCAATTCGGAATGAACACGTACAGAAACTGAACACTCACAGCGAAAATCATGGAACCGAATCATAAATGCAACACAAATCCGGCACCAGTCTATAGCCCCAACCCCGGAAGGAAAGAAGACAAGACTTCAAACAGCAGATCCATTAGCACACCAACACAGAAAGACCAAAAGTAATGGAAACACATGAATAGTTCTGATAATTCAAAGGTCTTACCAAGTTAGCCAAGCACAGTGATCGTTTGAAGCGGGAACAGATAGCGCGCACCGTTTAAAAATCAAAAGTGGTGGTTGACAATAAGTTCATAGTTTTGGCCGATTCTAGTGTAGTTCCTGGGAAATATACCCTTTCCCAACAATCGCTAAGACTGGCATGACTCAACGTGTGTACTTTGTTGCAGAACGACCAACATACAGCACTTAACCGAACAGTGGACCTTATCAATTGATTTATGTTGCTTATTAGAAACTCACCTGCAAGACCCGATCTATGAGCTCACTCTGCGATCATTATGTGATACTAAATAGTAAAGCATCAAGAAATCTGTAGAAGAGAAACTCAATGTATGGTCAAAGATACTGCTCACCAGAAATAGACGAGCATCTTCACACATGTAGCAACCGCTCTTCGTTGTCATTACCAGAGCCAACGCTGAGTTAGCCGCCAAGATGCAGCTCATCGGTGGACGATTGCCCAACTTGAGCATTCAGATAACCGGCCAGCATGACAGTATACGTACTAATGTTGAGACGAAACCGCTCGTCATCCTTCAGGAAGTCAATCCTGTGGTTTGTAGAGGCACAGGCAGTAACGGTAAACGAGCACTTACGGTCCCACCAAACAGAAATAAGGGACAAGCAAACCAATTTAACGGTGCATATCTGGTCATTGATCCGGATCGATGCGAATAGATCAGTCTAAGTCCGAGCGCTCAAAGAAAAACACACGGCGGCGTGATCGGTATTCGAGGCTACGTTACTCAGTGCCATGAGCGTCATGTGAATATGGTTGGCGACATCCGATTTCGGATTCGCCTGTCACTATGGCCAGCCACAGGACGCCTGCGCCTACAGAGGGACCATGGATGGCCTGCGCTGCACTACCCACAACTCCAACCACACACCACATATCCAGTGTAAACCCGAAGAAATATGACCGGAAGGCAAGTGGATGGGAGCCACGTTTCATCAACGGAGCCGGCTTACACTCGTTTACACGCAAACACAAGAACGCTGTATTTGGGGAATCAAGCGCATACAAGGCGGTGGCTGGACCGTAGTCCGCTCTACAATGAGTGCATGGAACCACTCTTTGATCCTAACACGCCCAAAAGGACCGTGCATCCAGTCCTATCCAGCAACGACCAACTGTCTCCTAGAGCCAGTATGGACGAGGTATTGGGTAATAGACAGGTAGGCACCTTGTCAACATGCACATCTAGCACAGCCACACCGGGGATATCAAGCAACAGCCAATCACTTGAGAAAAAGACAACGAAGAAAATAAATCGAGTAATGCATAAGGAAACGGTGACGTAAAACTTAAATTAATGAGCATATGAAATAAGTTGTTTACAAACGAATCCGAGATAAGTTAACGAAGTCGGAAAGTATATTTTACGGAAATGACACAAACACGAAAATGCTATCGAAATTAACTACAATTGGTTTAAGCGACGTGTGCAAGTTTACAGAAGAGAGTACAGGTAGACATTTATATGAGAAAGAAAAGCATTAGGACAAAATTGAAAACTCACCACCTGAAATAAATAGACTTAGCATGCAAGCACGCGGTTAGTAAATCAAATGCAGCGTACCTACAAACGCTGCGCCAGTTCTGCCTACGTTATCTGCAGGACCTGTCGTCTATCGGTAGTGGTCCCGAGTGGCCTCGCTCATGGCTCACTAGGCCTGCCTGACTCAGGCACTCGCGACCGCATGTGCTACAGCACCATGCGCTCGATGTCGATGGAGTACAACCCATCAGTGCTTGCCGCTTCTTCTCTG